AGACTCTTGAGAGTCCCTTGGACTGCAAGGAGATCCAACCAGTCCATCCTAAAGGAGATCAGTCCTGGGTGTTCATTGGAAGGACTGATGCTGAAGCTGAAACTCCAATACTTTGGCCACCTGATGCAAAGAACTGACTCACTGGAAAAGACCCTCATGCTGGGAAAGATCGAAGGCAGGAGGAAAAGGGGATGACAGAGGATGAGATGGCTGGATGGCATCACTGACTCGATGGACATGAGTTTGAGTAAACTCTGGGTGTTGGTGATGGACAGAGAGGCCTGGCCTACTGCGATTCATGGGGTCACAAAGAGTTGGACACAACTGAGCGACTGAACTGAACTGAACTGAATCCAACAGAAAGTCTCTCTTAAATTGAGTCTTGAAAGATAATTGGTTGTTCACAAGTTAAGGTAGGTGAACAAAAATGTTTCCAAGAAGAGAGGAAGCTATGTAGAAGCTGGAGGTCTCAGGAGAACAGTAAAGACTTTAGTATGCTGAAGTGGGAATGAAAGTTAAAAGGGAAACAGGACTGGAATAAGTAGAGCTGGACTCACAGCAAAATGAGGTCTTCAGGGCCCTTGATGGAGTTACCATGGAAACATCAAGGCATGCCACAATTCTCTAGCAGCTCCAAAGACAGCATATACCCGGTTCAGCTCATTGTGGCATGGTGGGTACCCCTCCAGCTCTACCTGTCCTATGACAAGAGACAACTAACCAAGTAAAGTCTACTTTTCTACTCTTTTGATCTTTGTTTTTGTTTCATGGGCCATCTACAGCTTCACTCCAAAATATATTTCGGAATAAGACATGGGCCTTGGTTTGATATATTAATACATTTAGTCTTTTTTTTTTTTAAACAACATGGTGGCAAAAGAGAGGTTCAAATAGAAAAAACATTATTTCAGTATTATTAACTGAGAAAAGCTAAGAAGTTTCATAATGACATTGAATGAGGTTTTTCATGTGCAAGCCCACCCCCCCTCACCCCAGGAGAAGGTATAAAGAAGTACAGTTTTTAAAATGAAATTATTTACAAAACAGAAATAGACAGAGAGAAAACAAATTTATGGTTACCAAAGGGGAAAGATGGGGGAGAGATAAATTGGGAGTTTGGGATTAACAGATATACAATATTAAAGAGATAAACAACAAGGTCCTACTATATATAGCACAGGGAAATACATTCAATCAGTTCAGTTCAGTTTAGTCTCTCAGTCATGTCCAACTCTTTGCAACCCCATGGACTGCAGCACACCAGGCCTCCCTGTCCATCACCAACACCCAGAGTTTTCTCAAACTCATGTCCGTTGAGTCGGTGATGCCATCCAATCATTTCATCCTCTGTCATCCCCTTCTCCTCCTGCCTTCAATCTTTCCCAGCATCAGGGTCTTTTCAAATGAGTCAGCTCTTCCCATCAGGTGGCCAAAGTATTGGAGTTTCAGCTTCAACATCAGTCCTTCCATTGAACATTCAGGACTGATCTCCTTTAGGATGGCCTGGTTTGATCTCCTTGCAGTCAAAAGGACTTTCAAGAGTCTTCTCCAACACCACAGTTCAAAAGAATCTGTTCTTCAGCACTCAGCTTTCTTTATAGTCCAACTCTCACATCCATACATGACTACTGGAATACCTTGTAATAGTGTATAATGGAAAAGAATGTTAAAAATAATATATATGTGTGTGTGTATAACTGAATCACTTTGATGTATCTAACACAACACTGTAAATCAACTATGCTTCAACTGTCTAAAAGTACAGTGTTTTTTTAAATGAGCTTATCTTTCTTTCTAATTTATATTCAATCTGCTTTCCAGTAAATAGGTAAGCAGCAGTCCAGATGTGGGAGATTGCTAACATATGGGACCATTTATTTAGGCCATAGACATAAATAAATCATCTAGGATTTTAGAATTCACCTAAGAATGACAGACATTCTCTATCAGAGAAGCCCCAGGGCCTCCACACCTGCTTGAGTTGGGAGTTAAGCTTCAGCGGCTTGACCCAAAGCTCTGTTCCCCTTTAGTGAGAAGGGTTTTTATACAGCGAGATAACATACAGCTATCACTGTGGCGGACGTTGGGTCAAGGAACCAAGCTGGAAATCAAGCGTGAGTAAAATCCAAACTTTCCTTTCTCAGTTGTCTGTGTCTTATGATCCCTGTGTCTCTGAAATGATCCGTACATTGACTCTATGAAACCAGACTCTGCCATCCTCCAGGGCAAAGTTACAGTTCATCTGTAATCAAACAGGAGAACTGATTGCACATTTTCTATGAAGAACCAGTCAGTCTCTGGGTGGGAATAACTTGCCTGAGTGATAGTTTCAGAAATGTATTGGTGAGCAAAGGATCTGTTCTGAAACAGAGCTTTGCTCAATGGTCAGGAAGGGAAAGGGTTTTTGTATAGGAACAAGGTTAAGAGGAACCACTGTGTAAATACTTTCGGCGGAGGAACCAAGCTAGATATCAAAAGTAAGTATTGTTTTCAGCTAATCCTTTGCTGTTTCTGACTAATTATTTACTTTTTGTTCCTTTTTGCCTGTTTTCATTAATTCAGTGTCAGGGCTAAAACAAATTTCATTCCCAGGTTAGGTACAGAGGAAGGGAAGGGAAATTCTCCCATAGGAGGCTAGCTGATGGTAAATTTAGGATTAATTTGAATGTAATTGGGGAAGGGGGCTTGATGCCCCTTCAGGGTAGGTATTTGTACAAGCGGAAATTAGGGAATCACTGTGGTTCACTTTCGGCCCAGGGACCAGAGTGGAGATCAAACGTGAGTACATTTTTGTTCAGTTGTTTGTGAGACTTTTGTCCTCTTGTATCAGTGAGCAAATTTGTGACATTTTGGTTACATGAGTCATGCCTGGTGACCCAAAAAGTAAAAGAGAGAAAGTCAGAAGACAGTCAATTTTTAAGCTGAACAGACAGCCAAATCATTGAATTTGTAAAGAGAGTAGGGTTTGTGGAGAGAAAGGCGGAGAAATGGCTGGATTTTTCTGTGGATTGGGCTTTTTCCTGTGATTGGCTTCAGAAGGAGGTTTTTGTTAAGGGGGATATATCAGGGACATCACTGTGAATTACGTTCGGCAGCGGGACCAAGGTGGAAATCAAACGTAAGTGCAATTTTCAACTCCTTTTTCTTATAGAGCTGTGAAATTTGGGAGTTTTAATGCTTGGGATATGAGTTGAGGTCAGTTTTGAAGAGAATGGGATTCTTCTGAAAAATCAGATGAGTCGGGCGCTGGAAATCAGTTTGTCTCAAGGAATAGCAAAGAGCTAGTTAGTTGATGTGGCACCTAAATGGCCAGATTTTCTCTGTATCTGACCATCGAAAGAGATGAGCAGCGAAAAGCGGTTTTTGTTGAGAGGAAAGTAAGTTAAATCTGTGGATCATCTTTGGCCAAGGGACACATTTGGAGATTAGACATAAATAATTTTTCTCTATTACCTTCTGAAATGTGGGTCTAAATGCCAATATGGACTTTTAGAGGCTTAAATATGGGTTTTGTAGAGATGGGTAAATGAGAGTATTTCAGATTTATTATCAGTTTGAAAAGTTAAACTCAGCTCCAAAACTGGATTTGTAGACAAAAAAGATTAATTTAATCTAAACCAAATGACTCAAAGGGGAAAAAAATAAGTGTCGATGAAAAAGGACACTTTTTCAAAGATAAAGATGTTTAGCTTTTAAAAATCAGAACAGAGACTTAAATTTTTTACATTTTAAGATTTGTAGAATGTCCCTGGGATAGGATATGAAAAAATTTCAAATATCTCCTTAAAAAGGAATCTTTGCAGCTCTAAAGAGCCAAAGTGAATTAATTTTCATTGAGATTTGCCAAATATTGTACTGATTTTTGCTAGATATACAAAACAAAAAAGTAGAGAAATGTGTTTGTCTTCTCTCTCTGTCTGATAAATTATTTTATACCAATAAAAATTAATGGAATGCACTAAAAAAATCAGTAAGACGTTAGAAAAATATACTTCTCTATGTTAAAATTTCTGCTTGATTGAGAATCAGCAGCAGTGTTATTTTTAGAGTCTAAAATGAGTGATAAACTGTCAATATTCAGAAATGCTATAGGGGATCTATACCTTGACAGATTACTCTTTTAAAAAAAAAAACAACAAATTTCTTTGTTAGACAATACTAGAAATGTATAAATGCATCTCCTCTTTTAAATGAAGGAAAGAGGGTTGTTCCCAAAAACTCAGCTTTGAAGAAATTTGTTTAGGAGAAGGAAAATAAAATAATTGCACTTTTTAGATGCTCACGGACGTTAAAAAGATAGGAAATATTTTAATGAGTATGATTTTTGTTATTACTTGGTGGTGTCTTGGTACCGCTGTGGAGGCCGTGGCTCTGCTAACGTGGTCTGTAGACCTCACGGCTGTCTTTAGACTTCGGGGCGGTCTTCTTTCATGATTGAACGATGTTGGTGGCCAGGCCCTTGGGCTATAGTGGCCGTTCACCCGGCCGCTAAAGGCCGCGAAAGGCATGGCCAACCCCGTGATCGCCCATTCAGCTGTGTTATGGCCCGCTTTCCTGACACAGTGATACGAATCATGTCGCTAACAGTAGAGAACAGAAATGTGATGGACACCAGCTAACATGGGGAAAATAGGGAGAAGCCTGATTTTTATCAGCAATTCCCAAAATAAAATTTATATTTTTGTATCTGCTTAATAAAAATTTCCAGTAGGGGTCTATAAAGAACTTAGTTATTTTTTCAGTGATCTATAATTATTTCAATATTCTCTCATCAAATATATTTAAGTAATAAATGTTCAATCAAAATGAAATATATATAAAAGTTAATATTATATATTTATACATACATATAATTTTCTCTATATACATAAAACTCTTTTAGGGCAAAATTCACACCAGCAAAAATCTAACTGAAGACTAGCAATCTGGCCATTCAGGTTTTGATCAGTTAACTTTTACTGAGTTAAAAGTTCAAACTAAATATCATTATAGGTATATTGCTGGAAAAAAATAAGATAAATTTGTGATGTTTTTAATTTTCAGAAATGTAATGGCTTCAGTAAGATTATATTTCAGGTGTACAAAATATCTAAATGTATATAAATGCCATTGATAAAAACTCAATGGCATTTTTTATAAATTTTTCATAAAAAATAGAAAAGTTTAAAAAAGTAAAAAAAAATAATAATAAAAAAATAAATAAAAAATAGAAAAGTATTTTCCAACCCCCTCATTCCATGATAGAAAATTTTTAATCTGGGTGTTTTAACCTTTAAAATCATTTAAAAATTTGTTGTTGTCATTGTTGCTTACTCTGGCTAATTTCAAAAGTGGTACTTGAAAAAGATTATTTTTGGTTTGCAGACAACCTGACAGGACTATTTTAGGGCCATTTAAAAACTCTTTTCAAACTGTTTAAACTATGCAAGTATTTTAAACTGTTCTAAAATAATTTAGGGCCTTTTAAAAATCTTTCAATGAATTTTAAATTCTATTAAAAAGTTAGTACGAGGTCTTACAAAAATTTCCATGTCAAATATGATAATTGTTTAATATTTTAATGCAGGATAGAATGTTTAAAGCTACCAAGGATTGACCCAAATAGGAGTATCTTCATAGGATATTTCATCTCCTTTTTTTCTAGAATTCATCTTATTTTACTGCATAGGCTATTTTATAAAATTCTCTGAAAAAAAATAATACAAAGGGTAAAAGAAAGGAAAATATCAAAACATTAAAAATTAAGTATCTGATATTGAACTGCTTGGTTAACATGGAGGTTTATAGCTTTATAAAATCTGTTCACTTATCTGTGACTTCTCCCAGGAAAGAATTCTTAATTTGTTATTTAATTCATGCTCTCCCATTCAAGAACTCAAAGGCCTACCAAGGGGATTTCTAGCAGGCCATCTGGCAGCTGCTCACAGTCAAAAGTGAAGCTCATCAGTTTCTCCTGGGCAGGTGGCTGAAGTTACAGTTGACCCTGCGAGTCTGCCTGAGACTTGCCTCATATGGCGACAGTCATAAGGCCAGGGCTGGGGGGTCTCACTTTGAGACCTTTTGCAAGGAGTGGGAGAGTTGCTGACCTGATCACAGAGGGTGAAGGGGTTGACACCCACACATACACTCTTGGACCCAGACTCAGAGTTTGGGGCTCACTCATGCAGGGTGAGTCTCACCCCAACATGCCCAAAGGAAACCCAGGAAGTGGAAGACAGCCTGACATCACTGCACAGGACTAGGAGAGGCAAGGGGGAAGTGATCTTGTTAGATCTGTTCTCACTTCAGGAGGGTCTGATGAAGTGGTTTTGTTTCTTGCCCTCTTGCACTGGGTTCCCTTGTAGGAGGCAGGGAACACAGATGAAGGAAAGAAAGATAAGGTCAGAAAACTTAAAACTCTTTTCAAACTGCTTAAACTATTTAAGTATTTTAAACTGTTCTAAAATTATTTACGAATTAAAAAAAATCTTTTAATGAATTTTTAAACTCCATTAAAAAGTTGATAGGGCTTCCCTGGTGGCTCAGCCAGTAAAGAATCTGCCTGCAATGTGGGAAACCTGGGTTCGATCCCTGGGTTGAGATGATCCCCTGGAAGATATAAGGACTTACAAGAATTTCTATATCAAATATCCTAATTATTTAATATTTTAATGCAGGAGAGAATGTTTAAAGCTATCAAGGATTGACCCAAAGAAGAGTATGTTCATGGGATATTTCACTTCATTTTTTTGTAAAATTCATATTATTTTGCAGCCTTAGAATGGCTGCAAAGAGTACAAAAAATTCAGAGCTTTCTTAAGGAATAGGGGCTAAGGGGAAACTCAAAATCATGGCAATTGTGAATTTGCTTCCTGACTTCCCTGGGTGGCCCTTGGATACTACAAAAAAAGCATGCAGCTCTCTGCACATCTGTCTTTTGCATTTCCAAGGTCATCCCCAGACAGTGCACCCCAGTAGAGAACTTCACTGTTACTTAAACACCCTTCTCTGTTCTTCCGTCCTCAGGGTCTGATGCTCAGCCATCCATCTTCCTCTTCAAACCATCTGACGAGCAGCTGACGACTGATACTGTCTCTGTCGTGTGCTTGGTGAATGATTTCTACCCCAAAGATATCAATGTCAAGTGGACAGTGGATGGGGTTACCCAGAGCAGCAACTTCCAGAACAGTTTCACAGACCAGGACAGCACGAAAAGCACCTACAGCCTCAGCAGCACCCTGACACTGCCCAGTTCAGAGTACCTAAGCCATGACATCTATGCATGCGAGGTCAGCCACAAGAGCCTGACTACCACCCTCGCCAAGAGCTTCAATAAGAACGAATGTTAGAGCAAGAGGTCTATAGGCTCCCCAGTCACCTGGGCTAATTCGGTCCCAGCCCCTCACCCCTCCTCAGGCCCTTTTCCCACAGATCAGCCCCTATTGCAATCCTCTGACCCATCTCCCCACCTCATCCCCCTCCCCCTCTTTGGCTTTAATCATGCTAATGTTGGGGGGACAATGAATAAATAAAGTAAATCTTTGCACCTGTGATTTCTCTCTCCTTTCTGATTTAAGGGTTTTTGTTTTGTTTTGTTTTTTAACTTTTTATTTTTGGTGGGGGGGGGCACTGCTGTACTGGGTCTACCCACTCCAGTGTACTTGCCTGGAGGATCCCATGGACTGTGGGGGCTGGCAAGCAATAGTCCCTAGGATCACAAAGAGTTGGACTCAACTGAAGGGACTTAGCACACACTCACGCACTGGGTCTTTGTTGCTGCACGGAGTTTCTCTAGTTGCAATGAGCAGGGGCTACTCTCTAGTTGCAGTGAAGGGGCTTCTCACTGAGGTGATTTCTCTTGTTGTGGAGCATGGGTTCTAGAGCATGCGCGCTTCAGTAGTTGCAGCACATGGGCTCAGTAGTTGCCCAGCCACAGCATGTGAAATCTTCACAGACCAAGGATGAAACCCAAGTCTGCTGCATTGGCAAGCAGATTCTCAACCACTGGAGCACCAGGGAAGTTCCTTGATTAAAGGTTTTTAAACACTTTTTCTAATGATCCAGTTTATCTTCTAAGGAATTAAATATTGAGTTGATAAAAACCATACCATCATTTATAAAAATCATCAGCCTCCATTCTAGTCTACCCTACTTTAGCTACAAGATACTCTTTCATGAAACCCATAAGCCATCTATATTCATAGCCCTCTCCTGGGCCATGGTATGAGAGGCTTGCTTCTTTTTTTTATTATTGAAATATAGTTGATTTACAATGTTGTGTTAGTTTTAGGCATACAGCAAAGTGATTCAATTGTCCGTATGCATATATGCACTCTTTTTTAGATTTTGTTCCCATACAGGTCATCACAGGGTATAGAGTAGTTTCCTGGATTTACAATAAGTTCTCTTTAGTTATATATGTCATCGGGATTGAGACTAGTGCCTCTTTGATTTCCCCTTCACAGCAGGCTTCAGAGCCCTTTTCAGGGTAATGGTTCTTATGATCACATATTCTTTGATCCAGTTGAATCTAATTTACCAACAGAAAATCTTTCAAAAGAAGGGAATGGCTAGAAACAGAGTCATTCATTGTGACAAAACAATGATAATAATGTGGATGAAGAAGCAATAGGGAAATATTTAAGTCCATTACGGCACTTTGACTTAAGGGAATACGATGCCTTCATTACATTTTAAATACAATACATATTGAGGGCCTCCTATCGGCCAAAGAGGGCTTCCCTGGTGGCTCAGAGGTTAAAGCGTCTGCCTGCAATGAGGGAGACCTGGGTTCGATCCCTGTGTTGGGAAGATCCCCTGGAAAAGGAACTGGCAACCCACTCCAGTATTCTTGCCTGAAGAATCCCATGTACAGAGAAGCCTGGTGGGCTACTGTCCACAGGGTCGCAAAGAGTCGGACACGACTGAGCGACTTCACTCACTCACTCACTCACTCATCGGCCAAAGACCCCATTAAATGTTTCCACAACCTAATTTAGTTTTTAGTACACTACACAGTTAAAGTGAAAGAACGTGAAAGTTGTTCAGTAGTGTCCGATTCTTTGTGACCCCATTATAGTCTATCGAATTCTCCAAGCCAGAATACTAGAGTGGATAGCCGTTCCCTTCTCCAGGAGATCTTCCCAACCCAGGGATAGAATCCAGGCCTCCCGCATTGCAGGTGGTTTCTTTATCAGCTGAGCCACCAAGGAAGCCCAAGAATACAGGAGTGGGTAGCCTATTCCTTCTCCAGTGGATCTTCCTGACCCAGGAATCCAATCGGGGTCTCCTGCATTGCAGATGGATTCTTTACCATCTGAGCTACCAGAAAACACAGTTAAAACACAAAATGTTTATTAAAGTGTAAGTCAGGTTCTATATAGCTGAGAGATATTCATACCCTAATACCTACCAATCCTGCCCTTGAATGAACATGTCCCTGCCCACCAAAAAAACTTATGTAAGAATTTTTCAGAGCATCTTCATTCATAAAAGCCCCAAACTAGAAATAATCCAAATGTCCACCAACAGTAGAAGGAGTCATTAAATTGTAGCATGCTTGTATATTAAACTATAACTATACCAAACAATATAGATGACTCTCATAAGTATGACAATCAGCAAAAGAAACCAAACACAAAAGATATGCCCTATATTTTCATCTATGAAGAGTTCAAAACCAGGAAAAATACAATTATAAATTGGGATAGGAATTACTTTGGGCTAAGATAGTGCCTAAGAGAATATAAGATGAGGCTTCTTATATTCTTGGTAATGTGAAGCATGCCATTTTGTGAAAATGTATTGAGCTGTGAAATTATAATCTGTGCACATTTCTGTATATGCATTGTACTTCAAGATAAGCTCACATAAATATCTTATACCCAATTTACAGGTAAGAGAGGTTAAGAGGAATAAGTAATAGGTCAAAGCCACACAGATAGTAAATGGTGGGCCAAGGATAAAATCCCCACCTGCTTAATTCTGCTCTCTTGACACCTATACAATTCTGCCTTCTGGAGCTTAGGGTGCTGCACAGAACAGAAAGTCAAATGCTACCTTCTCAGGAACTTCTCCATTTGGAAATCAGAGGCATACATACATAAGCAGCAATGGAATGGAAAAGATGTTCAACTATGGGCAAAAGAATGTAGTTAACCTGACCCAGATATTAGGATCCTATGAATGAAAAGTTATGTGTTTGGGAAGCAGGGAGGTCAGGAGGAGGCCACATATAAAACCAACCTTGACTCTCTTTCCCCACTTCTGTGCAGGCATCCTAGCCTCTCCCATCTCATCTACTTATCCATCCAACAAACATTTACTGAGCACCTTTTTCAGCTGATACCCTAAAAGAGGTACACAAGTAACTAAGATGGTGTCCTTTCCCTCAAGAACTTTATAATCCAGTTTTTCTTCCATTTTTTCCCCTTCCTTTGTCTGTACTGGAGAAAGTGGGAAAGGACTCTCATGGGAAAAGAGGGTAGGGAGATGACATTGACATTGTCCATCTTGAGAATATTTATTATTATCAAGTCTCTGAAATTTTGGAGGGCTGAACAAAGTTCAGAAAGACTCAGTAAGGTCCCTTTAAATGACATAAACTTTCTCATCCATCTCTGGAGGCAAAACTCAACAGTCAATGGCACCTCTAATACCATGCAAGGGTCTTTTCATAAAGCAAGACTTTGAAGACAGACCTGCTCTGACTCAAGGAAGTAGAAACAGGTATTATGGGTTGACTTGTATCCTACAAAAAGATATGTTCAAATTCCAGCTCCCATTCCTGTAAAAGTGACCTCATTTGGGAATAGGGTTCTTGCAGATATAATCAAATTAAAGTGAGATTATACTGAAATGCTGGTAAAGATGCCCTGAAACTGGATCTTTCATCCATTGCTGGTGGAAATGTAAGATGATACAGGCAACACTAGAAAATAGTTTGCTGGTTTCCTGAAAAACTAAACAAAATACACCAGCAATTGCATTCCACAGCATTCATCCCCAAGAAATGAGAAAGTATGCATACACAAAAACCTGTTCGTAGTTATTCATAACAGTTTCGTACGTAATAACTAAAAACTGCAGATCCCTCAACATGCCTCTCAATGATAGGCTGAACAAATTGTGATAATTCCATTTCATGAATACCATGTAGCAATAAAAAGAAACAAAATATTGATATATATGCAACAACTAGGATGATCCTGCTGCTACTGCTAAGTCACTTCAGTCATGTCCGACTCTGTGCGACCCCATAGACGGCAGCTCACCAGGCTCCCCCGTCCCTGGGATACTCCAAGCAAGAATACTGGACTGTGGTGCCATTTCCTTCTCCGATGAATGAAAGTGAAAAGTGAAAGTGAAGTCGCTCAGTCGTGTCCAACTCTTAGCGACCCCATGGACTGCAGCCTACCAGGCTCCTCCATCCATGGGATTTTCCAGGCAAGAGTACTGGAGTGGGGTGCTATACTGAGTGGGGGGAAAAAAAAAGCCAGTCTCAACAGGTCACACAGTACAAGATTCTTTTTACATAACATTATTGTTGTTGTTGATGTTGTCGCTCTTTAGTCACTCAGTCATGTCTGACTTTTTGTGACCCCATGGACTGCAGCACACCAGGCTTCCCTGTCCTTCACCACCTCCCAAAGCTTGCTCAAACTCATGTCCATCGAGTCGGTGATGCCATTCAACCATCTCGTCTCTGTCATCCCTGTCTCCTCCTGCCCCCAATCTTTCCCAGCATCAGGGTCTTTTCTAATAAGTCGGCTCATCAAGCTCTTCGCAGCAGGTTGCCAAAGTATTGGAGCTTCAGAATCAGGCCTTCTGATGAATATTCAGGGTTGATTTCCTTTAGGATTGACTGGTTTGATTTCCTTGTAATCCAAGGGACTCTCAAGAGTCTTCTCCAACACCACAGTTCAAAAGCATCAATTCTTCATCACTCAGCTCTCTTGAAATTATAATACTATCGAGGTGGAGAACAGATTACTGGTTGCCAGGGGTGAGGGATGGTGGAGGAAAAGAAGACTGAATGTAACTATAAAGGGAGAACTTGGTGGGCATCCTTGGTGGTCTAGGGGTTAAAAATCTACCTGCCAATGCAGGGGGCTCAGGTTCAATCCCTTCTCTGGAGTATTCCACATGCTGTGAGGCAACTAAGCCTGTGCATCACAACTACAGAGCCCAAGCTCACTCTATAGAGCCTGTGCTCTGCAACAGGAGAAGCACCACAGTAAGAAGCCTGTATACCGCAACTAAAGAATAGCACCGCCACAACCAGGTTCACAACTGCAACTAGAGAAAGCCCAAATGCAGCACCAAGACCCAGTGCATCCAATAGTTAATTTATTAATTAAAAATTAAAAAAAAAAATACGGGGAGAAATTGGTGATAAGAGAATAATCCTATTTCTGGATTGCAGTAGTGGTTATATACATCTAGAAATGTGATGGGACTTCTCTGGTTGCTCAGACAGTAAAGAATCTGCCTGCAATGCAGGAGACACAGGTTGGATCCCTGGGTCAGGAAGATCCCCTGGAAAAGCTAATGG